TTTCTTTCTTTCTTTCTTTCTTTCTTTCTTTCTTTCTTTCTTTCTTTCTTTCTTTCTTTCTTTCTTTCTTTTTCTCTCTGTCTCCCAGTATTAGAGTCTTCTCTAGAAAGCTAGGTCTTGGCACAATGTGCCAAAACTAGAATAATTTGAACCTAGTCATTTAATTCTCAAGTAAGAATTCTGGGTTGATTCGTTCGATGGTCTATTTGCTTTCATGGTTGAACTTGTAAATTTAGACTTAGTTAGAAGCTGACTAGTCTGTGACATTACTTGTATAGAGCTAGTTATTCCTATTCTATTTACAATTGTAATAGATAAAATTATGGGAAGTAATATGAAATTTAAACACATCGATTTACTGACTGATAGTCTCACTGTGAATGTAGGAGCTCCTGCTTTAAGAGACAGAAGGAACAGATGGATTACAAAATACTTGTGATTAAGATCTGGGGCAAATTACAATATTTATTAAATCTGTTCTGCCATATGTTCATCTTTTATAAGGTTTATCGTTAGGTCTTGGCTTTTCATTTAAAAGAGTAAGTCACTGATTGAACCCAACCCTATAAAACACTTTGTGTGTCGTTCTGGTTTTGGAACCATATCGAGACTCATTTGTCTCCCAATTATTCACCTGCTTTTAACATAAAGAGCTATGGACTTAGATCTTAGTCAGAGATTCACTGTGGTTGTGTATGATAATTTATCAAAACTGCTTTCTTCTGCAAGCTGAGTGCTTGATCAGTTTTACAGCTTTTTTTCTTCTTGCTTAAAAGTAAACCTGTGGATTTACTTCTATGCCTATTGCAGGCAACAAGTTGCATTATGTTTATTAAAAAGTGTTTGGTTTGACTAAAGAGGACAAATACTGCTAAGTCAAGCAAATATGAGCCTTCTCTATCATAAAAAAATATCTTGCAGCAGGGAAAGGAATTGTGCTCAAAAAATTTCCACCGAAAATAGCTGGGTTCCAATAGTAACATGTTTATTACAATGGCAAAAGAAATGCCAAATTTGGATCTTTCTTGTGGGCTGTTTCTGTCCAAACATCAGTGCACTCACTTCTTATACGTTACACTAGGTCTCCATTGTGATTACTGTATTCCTTCCTTGCAGGTAGCCAGATAGTGCCTAGATTGCAAAAATCTCTCAATTTACTGTCCTTTCAGTGCATTGAACTAGAACTCTAGATACAATAGTGGGAGTTGTTGCCCAACACGTATGAAGAACTGAATTATTAGTGATGTTAAGTTTCTACTATGGGACACTTATGATGACACAACTAAGTACAATAGCTAAAAGATAGAAAACAACTTAATAGGCAAATACCAAAATATTTTACTTAGATCACAGCTCTAATGCAAATGTATAGGATGGGTATACCTGGTCCGGTGATAATAGTAAAAAGGAACAGGTATGATCAGGAAATGAAAACATGTCTCATTTTTTACAAAATAAATTTAACCATTTAAGAACCATTTTGGTTTGAGAAGAAAAAGGTGGAAAAAGAAATTACCATAGGCATCTGTTCCTAATCAATGTTAAATCAAAGTAATAAAACACCTTGTGAAATTATCCCACAAGTTTCATTCACCCTTATACATTATAGGGTAACTATCAGGTTCTTAATGTGCAGAGTTTCTACTGTGATCCATATTTCATCACTTGCCCCATTTCTTCTGTGGTGTTCTACTGTATGGACATGACATCGTAGAAGATATTGTCTGTTGCCCCAGAGTACAGGAAATAAAATAATAGATTTAAATTACAGGAAAGTAAATTTTTAATGCTGGGGGCATAATAGCCAAACATTTGGAGCAGTTAATAAGGAGAGAGCGAGAAATGAAACAATTATCTGGAGAGGTGGTGGGTTCCACTTTTCTGAGTATAGTCAGATTGAGTTAGTCAGCTTTCTCTCGTGGATGCTTTGTTTTAAATTTCTGCATTTCAAATAGGCAGTTGGTATGATAGTCTTAATGGACACTTTCAAATTGTTTCATTCCATGAATTTAGTTTTCATTTTAACTCCCATTTTTCCTACTATTACTTCTGTAGAACTACCATAAACAGGCTGCAAAATCAGGATGACTAGAAATGACAGCAAAGAGTTCGTTTTTTTAAATACCACTTTGATGCCATAGCCACCCACAGATTTGTAGATGAAAATGATAATTCTAACATCTTTTTTTCCAGAAAAAAAATTGAACCAGTTAAATGATAAAATAGTTGTACAGTGCTGCTTCAACGTACTATGAATTCTTTGTCTGAAAGGATAGGTGACAGTCGTGGTTTGGAGGGTGTTTGCACATATTCTCCTTGTGTGCCAGTGATACCTGTAAGAATAAGAATTAACCCTTTATCTTATAGATCCATGATGGCGAACCTATGGCACATGTGCCAGAGGTGGCATGCAGAGCCCACTCTACTGTCACACGTGCCGTCGCCCCAGGTCAGATCTCCATGGCGTTTCTTTTATGAGCTTCTGATTTCCTGCAAACAAAACAGAAGTTCATGGGAAAAAAAGATCTTACCTCTTGCTGTGCTGCCAGTGTTGGGATGCCCAACCTCCCACCAGCCAGCTGGTCTTCGGGTCTCTGCTGCGCATGTCCATGCATGTCTGTGAGCGTTCATGCACATGCACACAACTTTCAATTTGGGCATGTGTGTGTGGGCAGGTTGAGCACTCGGTGTCTGTTATAGATTGTTACTAGCCAGCTCACATTTACTCTCAATATACTCAGGGATAAATGAAATATTAAATAATCATGGATTTGAAGAAATCTGAGTGGTTAGAGAAAGGAAGTATTTTTTGTTTTGTTTATTGACTGTTCTTTTGAAAATTGTTATGGATCTAACCCTATGCCCTTACTTTATAGTAATTTTATAGAATTTGACACTTTCCTATTGAACATCTACATAAAACTACTAAGGAAATTCATCCAGTGACTTGGGTTTAGATATCATCAATATGATACATCTCAACCCCTGGTCATCCAAGTGATACTGTCAGTGTTTCATCTCAGTATCTGGAGACTGTGAGGATCTAGATAGAGAGGAATAGGCTCAGTCATAAACCTGAGGAAAACGAGTAGCAGTTTGACAGATTTTTCATCTAATTCTGGATGTGGCCATACTCCCTAATCAAAAATGGTCTCAGCTTGAGTAACTAAAAGTCATGGTTAGGAGGGCCTTTGCACAATTCCTTCTTGTGTGTCAATTACCGTATTTTTCAGAGTATAAGACGCACCAGAGTATAAGACGCACCAAGGTTTTGAAGAGGCAAATTTAAAAAAATGTAGGTAGGTAGAGGGATAGAGAGGGAGAGAAAGAGAAAAAGATAGAGAGAAATACAGTAGATAAGTAGGGAGGGCGAGAGAGAGAGAGAGAGAAGGTAGGTAAGGTAGGTAGAGGGATAGAAAGAGAGAAATAGAAAGAAATAGAGAGAAATACAGTAGATAGGTAGGGAGAGAGAGAGAGAGTTGGTAGCTAGAGGGATAGAGAGAGAAATAGAAAGAGAGAAATACAGTAGATAGGTAGGGAGAGAGAGAGAGTAGGTTAGGTAGGTAGGTAGAGGGGGAGAGAGAGAGAGAGAGAGAAATACAGTAGATAATTTTGAGAGAGAGAGTAAGTAGGTAGATATTTCCAGGCATATTTATCCATGTGCTGGAGAAGGAAATTGCTGACAATCTGCAGCACCTAAGACTTTGTTTCTGCTGACACAGCACTTGATCAATGTAATTCTCATCAATCAGTTAAAGAACTTTCCAAAAGGAAAAAAAAAGTTTTTGCACTCTGCAAACCTCCCCAAAGCCCCGTTTGTCGCAAAAATGGGCCTGTTTTTTTTTAAAAGGCATGAATAGCCTTGGGGGGACTTGTAGAGTGCTCCTGGGGGGGGGGGCAAAAATGAGCAAAAAACCAGCCTGTTTTTTGCAAAAACGGGCCCATTTTGTGTCAAAAAATTTGCATGCATAGCCTTATGAAGGCTTATAGAGTGCTGCTGGGGGGTGAGGCAAAAACAGCCCGTTTTTTGCTCATTTCTGCCCTCCCCAGCCCCCAGAGCTGTCTGAAAGCCTCCATAAGGCCATTTGGCAGGGTGTTAGGAGGCAAAAAATGCTGTATTTGATGTATAAGAAGCACCCAGATCTTCAGCCTCTTTTTTGAGGGAAAAAGGTGTGTCTTATGCTCTGAAAAATACGGTATATCTGTTCCTGAATCTGAAGGCCTTGTTCATGGTCATCCACACTTTGGTGAACCCTAGCTTGAATTAGTGTAACATGCTCTACATGAGATTTCACTTACGGACAACTTCGAATCTATGGCTAGTTCATGATACAGCAGCCTGAGTACTTTTGAGTGTCCCTTGGTATATCCATATAGCACTACATTGGCAAACATTTTGCCTTCTCCAGGCAAAATCTACCTTGTTTTTTCCTTGTCTTCTTTGAACTTCTATTTATTTATTTTTTTAAAATAGAAGCCAGCATTGTATATAACTCTCCCTGGAACCTAAATTCATCTTCTCTATCCCATGTAGAATGTTATGTGCAATGTTTCATCTGAGGGTCATTCTGATTTTCTCCCCACTGCATTACATTTTTTCTTACTCAATTTTTCATATTCTTGACAGGATTTGCCATCACAGTGATAGATAATGTGATGCTCAAGGCTCTGTGAAGCACATGGTATCTCAGTCTAATATTGTATGAAGTGCCAAAAAGGACAAAAGAAAGAAAGCTAGAATGAACAGGCAAAGATTCAAAATCAAGAGAGCAGAAATTATTACATCAGAACACACCTTTGTTCAATCTTTCTCAACTCTTTTATCCTGGAGGAAACCTTAAAATATAATGTTCAGTTCTCAAGAAAGCCCTGCATAAAGAAACATCTCTACAGCTACCATAGCATTGCACAATGTATTATGTTTAAAAAAACATTGTTTAAAAAGCAATGGTTTTTTTTTACAAACTCTCACAGAATCCCTAGTGAACCAGTGAAAGGCTGCCTTTTTGCCTTTGTGTAATGTAGTTCTACTCTTTGATTAATTATTAAGAATTTTTATTCTTGATGCCCTTGCTTATTGTAGTAACTTTCATTTGATCTAATGTACTCCTGGAAAAGTCAATATTTTCTGTGTGCCCTGCATTTCCCATCTGAATGTTGTTTTTAGATAATCAAAGAAAAGGCTTTATTTTTTGTCAACTGGTTATCTAAACAAAAGGAAATATTGTGTACAAAAAATGAAGAGGCTTAGAAGGACTCTAGTATTGAACAAACACAAATGAGCAACATATGTTTCCAATCAAATCATTGTTAATTTCAAAATATTAAAAATTAATACAATTATTATTTTTTAAAATATCATTTGTACTGAACATAGCTAATTGCTTATCCATGAAGTGAATATATAATCAAAATAATAGATAGACATGGAGAAAATGATGTTCAGAAGAATAATGATATAGAAAATAACGTTCAAATTTTTTGGAAGAACAAACATTTCAGCATTGCTGATACCCAAAGGCATATTGGCGGGGAGGGTGGGAACCCAAATCCTTCTGCCCTAGGTATTTAAACTTAAGATTTAAATATACCTCATAATGTAAATATGTTTTTGGATGCTTAGTTTAGAATAGTAAGAGTATATTCCCTTCTATTGGTAGGTTAATAAATATCAATGTTGAATATTTAGTATTACACAGAAAAATGGAGAGGATTGGGAACATTTTCACATTTTTAAACCATCTGCTTTTCATCCTTAAATCCTGATGAGTTTGGCACTGAATGCAGTTACATTTGGATTGTATTTCTGCAGGCATATGAAATTACTTAGTGACAGGTGAAATAAACTATACAAAATATCCATGGCAAAAGAATGTCTGTATATATTTTATGACTTTAACTGATAAAAGGAAGTTCACTTGTGTATCAGTATAAATATAAATTGATTCCAGATCATTAAAGTAATTATTAATAAAGAGAAAACTCCTTGGAAACTTTTCAATTCTGATCTCAATCTCATAACAAGCTGCATAAAACTCCTTGTTCTGTTTGGTGTTTCTTTAGGTCAGTGGTTCCCAAACTTGGCAACTTTAAGACTTGTGGACTTCAATTCCCAGAATTCTCCAGCTAGCTCTTCTGGCTGGAGAACTCTGGGAGTTGAAGTCCACAAGTCTTAAAGTTGCCAAGTTTGGGAGCCACTGCTTTAGGTGCTTGACTTACTATCTATACCCAGGCTGAATCAGTGGTTCTTAAACTGTTTGACCCAATTAATATTTTCCTGGTCTCAAATTATCTCATTATGCCCACAAAAAACCAGATTCTTGTTATTTCACACCAGCTTCTTGATGGCAGCAGTCCCAAAATGGATTCTTGATGCACTAACAAGCAATCATAAATTACTCTGTTACTTCCACAATATGCCCAAATTATACCCCTGGGAGAAATTACTTCCCAGTTTAAGGACTACTAACCTAAATTGTTGGTTTACCAAGACATTTTATACATAGTATAAGTAAGAATATGCATGTCTGTAGAATTATAAAATTGATTGGACCACACACCATGCATAATGAGTAATTGTATTTAAAGTAATTATAAACCTACTCATCTGCTTTTTGCTAGAAAACATGCTTTACAATGGAGGGAAAAGAATGTAAAACAGTTTTTGTGTCATTGGTCCATTTCTTCCACATATCATTTCTCCTGTCCAGTCATAGAATTTTAGAAAGTGGAGTTTGAATGACTTAATTAAATCTGGGTCATAATTCTTCAGACACACGTCTGTGGATGTACACACCTCTGTTGCTGCTTTTGATTGCCAGTAAGCATAAGTGGATTCAGTTTGGCCTTGATGCCTGCTTATTGCTGATACTTATGAAAGGCAATATTGTTCAGTCAACGGTAAAGCTGGATTATGTTTTCTATTATTAGTTTTGTCATTTGCAGCCATGAAATTAATATTGTGTTACTATTTTTTTATCATTTGTTGTAGCTCCTCTTCTCTATTTAAAAAAAATCATTGCAAAGGTTGTTACTAACATGGATGTTTCATAATAGCTCACCTTAGTTGCATTCTTCTAATTATATCTTGACACCGGCAGTAGGTATCTGTAAAATCTTAACAAAGGACAAAGCCTTTGAAATGCAGTGATTCTAAAGCAGATTTACACTTTTTAGATTCGTTTTCTCCAATTTGGTCATTGAAATTATGAGGACTGATCCAATATTTCTGAAGAGTTTCAGATTGGGGAAGGTTATTTAAAAGATGTTCTTTGTTCAACAGAGCGTTAGCTTAGGTTTCATCTACTGCTTTTAAATTATTCTTGTGCCAGGTAGAACCTAAACCAGAATGGTTTTAATTTCAGCAAGAAACTGAAAAAAAACAGTAATTTGTAGGAAATGGCTTTTAAAAAGTAGGGACAGAAAAAACATTCTTGTGTAAATGTTTATCCACTGTGGATAAAACATTCTTTTCCTCACCAAGCAGCATGACTATCCTAAAGGGCTATGAAAGAAATACTCTATTTAGATAGTATCAAAATAAGCCAGGTCAAGAAATGTGTATCACAGGACACATTAATTCTCCAATTTATTGAAATAGACTATAAACACAAACATGAAAGCCTGACAGCATTTTCCCTTCCTTTCCTCTTATTCCAAAGAAAGTCAAGTGTGTTTTCCTGAACTAAGCTCATGTTTTACTAATGATGGCCATATATTTTCTTCAAAGCCAACTTTGTTTCCCTCTGCAAAATTTCTTCAAACAGAATATAACAACCTCAGCAGTACTTTAAAAAAATGTTATTTAAGGAAGTATTAAAAACAGCATTTGCACTTGTAGTTCACAATCATGTCTTTCTTCTGATGCAAGTGCTAAAATCCTTCCTCGTAGTTATAGTTGAAAGTAGCTTGGAGATTGTAAACTAAACAGAGTGCATCAACAAGGCTCCCATCCATAATATCCTTCCAAGACCCAGCTGTATGTTTTCTCCTGGATTTCAACCTTCATGGATGATGCTGAGGACCTTTAAGAGTTTGAGATGTCAGTACTTAGAAGCACTTTATTTTAAGATATACACACAGGGGGCTCTTAGTCTCCCTTGGCTAGGATAATTATGTTAAGTGGAGATATTGGAGATACTTCTGTTTAGTGGCCCTTGATTTTGGAATATCATTCTCCGGATGGCCAGGCTAATACCTGATTCATTCTGAGCCTTTTGGCTCTAGCTGAACATTTAGTTTTTTTCTTATGTTCAAAATGCTACATTTTGAACATAAGCATTTTATGAACCATGGTAGTGCAGTGGTTAGAGTGCAGTATTGCCAGCTGCCTGCAATTTGGCAGTTCAAATCTGACTCCTTAAACAGGCCAGAGAGGGCTGTAAAGCACTGTGAAGCGGTATATAAGTCTAAGTGCTGTTGCTATTGCTATTTGGAGCCTGATCATGCTTGATTAAAAGCATTAAAAGAATCAGCAAGAATCCCTAATGCAAAGGCACACAAGTGATTAGACTTGTTTGCTTTTGCATTAGGGATTCTTGCTGATTTAATTTAATTTGAATAATGTAATTTATATCCTACCTTTATAATGTTTATTAAAAAAAACTCAAGATGGCAAACACACACAATATTCCTTCCTCTTCCTATTTTCCCCACAACAACAAACCTGTGAGATGAAATGAGAGAGAGGGACTAGCCCATCATGCCTTTCATGCTTAAGGCTATATTTTACTTAGTGGTATCTTGTAACACACAGAGGGATTCCTCTGGATAGCAGATAGATTTAAGGGTACAGTGTGTCAATAGCAATAGCACTTAGACTTATATACTGCTCCATAGTGTTTTACAGCACTCTCTGAGCAGTTTATAAATATCCGCATATTGCCCCCAACAATCTGAGTCCTCGTTTTACCGACCGTAGAAGAATGGAAGGCTGAGTCAATCTTGAACCGATCAGGATCGAACTCCAAAGTGTGGACAGTTTGCCTGCAATACTGCATTCTAACCACTTCACCACCAGTGGTTAGAATAATAACGTATTTTCTGTTAATATGCCTATTATGACTTTTAATTTGGGTTTGTTATAACTGTAAGCATATAGGCATTTTACACCCCATTTATTTTCTCTCTTAAATCAGAAAAAGGTCATGTTTGGGCTTATACTATATTTCAAACCGGCTTTATTTCATGCAATCAAATCTGAAATTATTTTATAACAATAAAAGATCCAGACAATGGTAATTTAAGAAAGAGGGAAAGAAGAAAATAAAAAATAATTTGTTATACTTAATATAGAAACCAAGGTTTGATCTCTTTCATAGGAACTCCCCCAGTTATGTTAATTTCATCGTTTTTAGGTTACTTTCCCTTCCTCTTTGGAGATGTTACAAAAGATCCATTATTTGGTTAAAATAAAGTAAGAGACTTTCTGTCTCTCTCTCATTCTCTTTTTTAGTGTTCTAGAAGTACATTTTATAATCAGTGGGAAATACACCTTTATATGTACCGTAGTCAGACTTGCATACTATAAGGTAGCCTGTTGCTACTATCAGGAGAGAAAACACATTTAAGTGATTATTGGTTGCAATCACAATATCTTTTGCATTACGTAAAGAAAATGCTATATGAGTATTAATTTCCACATTAATGGTGTATATAATAGCTCCCGTGCAATGGATTTATTTATTTATTTATTGCCCCATTT